TAGGGTCGAGTTTTTTTCCATCCCGGGAGAATGATGAGGACATCACAAGCAGATTCGAGCGTACTTACCAGCGTAGGAAACATCCTATGGTGGACAGCATGACTATTTGGTTTTGATTTTCAAATTGAGTAGTTAATTCAGTTTAGCAGTTTAGGTTTGAATTTTGAATTTTGAATTGTGGTTTAAATTTAGTAGTTAATCAGTTTTTAGCATCTGAATGATTTGAGGGATTTCCAAATCTGTATTTTTCTTTTTTTAAAGCACTGTTGTAATCAGAATTGATTAATGAAGATTTGAGAAAATTTGTTGCTAATTGCATTGTGAGCGTGTGAAACGCGGGTGTGAAACCCTAGCTGCAATCCCCTGTTCCTTCTCCTCCTTCCTCGATCAACCGCAACTCCCGTCTTCCCCTCCACAGCCGAACACCTCCCTTCCCCCTGCTCATCTCCTCCACCGCCGAACAACCCCCCTGCTCTTTCTCCTCCACCAGCGCCGCCAACATCCCTCTTCTCCTCCGCAACCCCACCGATTCCCCTCTTGCACTCCTGCCTTCCGAGCAACCCCGACAACCTCCACAAGTCACCCTGCAACCCTCAAAGAGGCCGCCAACATCTCTTTCTTTCCTTCACCCTCGAGCAGACACACTGAATCCCCCTATTCCTCCACTTCCGAGTAGTTCCGACGTCGCCCGCGTCCTCCCGTCATTCGCGCATCCAGTTGTTGTGTGGTCATCGCCTCGTCGTCGTCAAATCTCCACCTCGTTCGTCACCGATTCGAGTTATGATTCCGCGACCCATTGGTGCATGGCCGATCCTACAGCCGAAGACGCTCAATTCGTGTACAATCCAGTGACCGACGTGATCGATTTGTAGCTTTTTCAGTGGTTCGACTACCAGTCTTTCAATACCCAGCAGGATACGTCGATCGCGTGACTCCCCAGATTGCTGATAGCGTGGAGTCGTTTGGGAATCAGTTTGTGGCACCAGCGTTTTCATCCAGACGCGCCACTTCACCCCAGCTACGTAGCTCTTAGAGAACTCCCTCCCCTCATATTTGACGTCGTCACACCACCTCTAGAGGTCTCTCACGTCGAGCATGTTCAGACCGACGAATGTTTCGTTTTCTTTCGACCCAGTATTTTAGGAACTGCTATCGCGTCCATGTTATTATCAATTTTAATATCAATTACGATTGTTTTGTATTCTGCTTGATTAGTGAGCGAGTGACTCTGTTTGCCCCGTATCTCTGTTGATCTAAATATTACAAGTCGAACTTTATTACGAGAACGAACCATTACATTTATTTTCTAAATAATTTACAAGGCCGTAAATTTAGTACATTGTAATCTTTGTTAAACCCATCTGGAGCTTCACTTTCTTCTCGAGTTTCCTGCCTAGATCAATCGCTGATTTGGTGAAACAGTACTGTCGATGTTCTTCATACCTGCATGCACATTGTTCACATCACACTGCTATTAAGTATGTAGGTATTCTTCTTACCTCCAAATTCCTTTGATATAGAGATCGTATGCCTCCTATTGGGTTAATTGCTAGTAGAATCAAGGGTTGGTGCGACAAGTTCTTGTCATATGCTGGAAGAGCTCAATTGGTGCAGTCCTGCTATTTAGTCTTCATTCCTTTTAGTCCTTCATCTTTACCCTCCCCAAGAAGGTAATTACTGAAGTTAAAGCAATTCGTATGAGTTTTTTTTGTTGGGGGGTGGGTTGGGCGGGGGAATGGTAATACAACTACAAGTAGGGCTCTTTTGATGGCATGGTAGTCTTTGACTCTTTATGTTTACCTAAATCTCAGGGAGGATTAGGATTCTATGATGCTAGTTTGGTTAATAAATCCATGATGTTAAAGAATATATGGTCTATTGCTCTTAAGAGTGATAGTTGTGGGTGCATGAGATTTACCTAAAAAACTGTAGAATTTAGGATATTTTTGTTAAGCAAACTAAATGATTGGGGTTCAAGAAAATTCTGAAGTTAAGGCAATACACTGACCTTTTGGTGTCTATCAGTGGTAAGTTTCTACATGAATTGGTTCTGATCCTCAGTTTAGCACTAAGGGGGTTTTTATTGCTTTATGCCCCCCTCAGGTCAAAAAGTTCCATGGAGGAAGGTTATTTGGAGTTGTATGAATCTCCCAAACATCCTCTTATCTTTTGGTTATCTTGTCATATAAAATCCTCACTCGTATGGTTTTGAGAAAGTGGGGGATGAAAATGTATGCTCTCCGTGTCCTCTTAGTGAACAATTTGTCAACAGGCAGAACAAACTAAGGAGCACTTATTTCTCTTGTAACTTCAGCAAAAGATTTTGGCGCTGTGTGCTAGAGTCCATTCATGAAAACTCATGCTCCATGTAGATGGGAGTTGTTGATTCCCTATGCTTTGAAGAAGTATAGTGGTAGAGGGATTATTGCGAAGTTCTATCTAACAGCCTTGGTTGCTGCTAGTTACTATTTGGGGTTTGCAAGAACTTCTCTATTGTTTGGAGGGCTAAAACCTGACAAGGAAGAGTATATAAAGGAACTGAGGTTCCTATTGAAAATTCAATTAAGGAAAGTCACAACAATGGTGGACAGCTGGTGCTCAATCTATCTGTTTTGAAGGGTGATACGATGCCTTCGGTAGTAACAAGGTTTTAAATACCGGATGTCGGGTTCATGTCGGACGACTGAAATCCATATCGGATAGCGAAAATCGGGGATATATCAGGAGACATGGACTAAATATCGGATTGTCATATCGGGTGGTGCGCATATGTATAATATCATATCCTAAATGTAATCTAAGCATTCCTAAATTCAATATAAGCATACTATATAAATTCTAGAGGCGGCGCCGGCGATGGGTGGATTCGACGTCGCAGGGAGACAGTGTCGACGATAAAACGTCGCAGGGAGGCAGTGCTGGGGCTCTTCTTCTTCTTCGTCTGCTCGGGGTCCTTCCGATGAGTCACCGACCACTCTCTTCCCTTTATCCCGACGACGGATACCCTGCCGCCCTCAGGTTCGTTGGGGTTTGGATTTTGGGGCGCAACGGGAGATGAACAATGGGGGTCCGAGATGGACGTTGTGGAATGACGTCGTCGTTCACGAAAGGAGTGATCGATTTCCAAGTCCGTTGTAGCCCTAATTTTTCTCTTTTCTTTCTATCGGGTTCATAAGAAACCCTTAAACATGAAAACGGGTCAAACGTGTTTGGGTTTTTATCATTAAACTCAAACCCAAAAATAAAAAACAGATCTAAAAAAAGGGCCATATGGACCGATTTTTCGATGCTGAAAAATCGGTCGATATGCCCGATATGACCCCAATATTTTTGATTTGGCCCTAAAAACCGACATACGAGTTGAAAACGTCAATGTCGTGTCGCTCAAGCCCTCAAACTAACATGCCGATCGGACATGTCGGCCGACATTTAAACCTTGGGTAATAATAACATGTCAGCATGATTTTTAAGTTATATGTCAGCATGATTTTTAAGTTTTAACCATATTAAGCATCTTTTGCACTTTATATTCCCATTGATCAACAATACATTAGTTTATTCAGACTTTTATTCTTAATACGATAAACGCAGTCCATGAATCAGATTTAACATGTATTCTTTAATTTAACCCTGTAATCCTTTTTTCTTGTATGAAGGCCTCTAGGAAGAGCTTTGAGCTCATATCTTATACTGAATCAAAGAAAGCAAATATCACTATATCCAAGAATGAGTTGCATTTCCTCCATTGTCTCTGACTTTCCTGTATATCTTCTACCATGACTGAGCAAGCTTCCTCCTGCCCCCTCGTGTCTTCATCTTTTTTCATGTCGTTATAATACATCAATTGCAAATCCCCAATAGGTACCCTATGAGGATTATTTACAATAGATTCGACAACATCAACACCGCCTATCCAATTAAGCCACAATGTGTATTTTATTCTGTAAGATGCACTAGATAGAAATCCAACAAAGCTTTCTTGTGCTGGATGTTAACTTACTACTGCAACCTCCCCTCAGAAAAAGAAAAAATAAATAAAATATGAAGCTTGGGACTTATGTACGTAAATCAAGACATTAGTAGAATTTGCAACCACTCAAGAGAAAGATGTTACTTTGCATGTTTCTGATCTGGACCCTTGAAGATTTATCAGGAGATGTAGCCATCAAAATTGGTGTTTTATGTTTCAGTGAATGTCTTACCAAAACAAGGGCAAAGAGGCAGCTAGACTATTAAAGGTTAAGTTTTAAAAGACTGAGTCACATAACAATAGGCTTACAGAATCCAAAACTTCTGAATTTATTACAACCATTCCGAGAGAAAAAAAAAATCCTGGACATCCCTATTCTCTATCAGATCAAAGTGGGGTTACCTAGCTGAAGCATTTTTGTCTTTCACAATGTAATTTCTTAAAGAACACTTCTCGATGAGGTAAATCCAGAAGATCTGAAACAAACTGTTTAAAAAGTTATCTGTCTGTCTAAGATTAGGTTTTACCATCTATAATAAGTTTGTATGGAAATAGTACAAGATCGAGGCAATTTGAACAACGTATGGCTGACTTTTCGTACAAGGTGCAAGGAGAACTATCTACTGTCATATAATTTAGGCTCTGGAAACCAAGGGACTAATCTCCAAATTCCTCAAAGATTTGATCTAGAGGGATAAAATCACAAGATCTTCCAGACATTAATGCATCTGACCAGAAGGCGAGAAAGACTAATTTCCATCAACATAAACTCTAGCTAAAGAGTAAAACACTGGTGACAATTCAAATCTATAGTAAACAATCTAGGAAATATTCATTCATCTAGCACCGCAAAATCACAGAGATTTTACAGTGCACAGCTCTTATAGCTAACAAATCAAGCTTTCTATTCACTACCCACACAGTAGAAACATAATGATAAAAGGAATTTCAAGCAAAACCCACGTCTTAAAATCGAAACTTTGGTCCTAAAGATCAAATTTTCGCAGAAAAATCGAGATGAGCTGCTTACCTGGCCAGGTGTCAGAGGGCTGCTGACCACCATTTCCTCTGAATCCAACAACTGAAACCAAATCAAATCAATCACCAAAAACCCAATAATCAATACCAAGATCTGCACAAAATTAAAATTCTTAGGAAAAGGGAGAAGATTTGCACCTCAAAGGAAACGAGATCTGCTGAGTTTTAGTGGGTGAGAGTAGAGCTTGAAGAATACGAGGGAAAATAGGTGGGAATTTAAACAGAGGAAGAAGAGGGGATCTGAAGCAACAACAAAAATTGGACGGTAAAAAGTCGCTAACAAGATGAAAAAGAGAAAAAAAAATGAACAATAAGAGAGAGAGAGAGAGTAGACGGATTGGTGAGATGAAGGAGCGGTTGGGTAACGGGGTTGTTGGTTTCTTGCCTTCTAGTTCTACTCCTTACCCAAAAAATGATTAACTAGTTTAAAGTTCGGTGTTTTTGGTTGAATTAGTTTTTACACACATGTAATGCACGTGATTTAATACCATGATTAAGTATTTTTGGCTGTTTGTGCTTATTTTTTTCTTTAAACTCTTACATCCCGGTTATTTTTTTATGTTTGTTTAAATGGGATACACCCAATTTTATTTTTTTCTTTAAACTCTTACATCCCGGTTATTTTTTTATGTTTGTTTAAATGGGATACACCCAATTTAAATTTTCATGTTGATATTTGAATTGACAAAAAATAAATATAATTTAAAAATAATTTGAATTTTCATATTATTTTTGACCGATATGAAACTAAGTTTTATTTGATAAAGTATAGCATTGCAAAGTGAAAAATATTAAAATAGTGTTATACAAGGAAGGTGAATATTTAAAACCAATATGGCAAAATGATTGATTTAAAGTATGTTAAAACGATGCAAAAGAGAATATGAAGTTTATTCCTAATCATTGATAGACTTCATAAAAAAATATAAATTAAAGATTAATGCTAACTCTAGTATACTTTTATATGATAAAAACATCCACATAAGAATATAAAAGTACTGAAAAAAATTCATGAAACTCCCTTCTAAAGATTCCTAATTTCACTCAAAATAATTAAACTATTCTATAAAATATTCATAAAATATTGTTTTTATTTCTTCTATTTTATTTTTTATTGAGTTAAGATCAATCCTTCTTCAGGTTTATCATTTATCATTTCTCGGACAATTCTAGAGTATTGTCTTCATCATCTACATCAATTGTGACATCAGACTAATTTTGTATTTTTTATGCTATTATCTTTCCTAGGCTCGTTAATTTTTTATCATCTCATTTAACTTTACAAAGAAGTCAAATGTACTTATGATGTTCAACACAAACTCTCAAAATATAGACTTTGTTTTTTTCTATTTCCATGAGAATAAATATTAATTTCATATATATAAAATTCTTTGTGTTCCTAATTTATTACTTAAATAAATTAGAAGCTATCTCTTTATTTTCCTCTAAAATGAATTCTTCTGATGTGCATCCAATAATAATTTCTGTTATTTCAATAATATTACCTTTGCTCTATCCCTGTCATTTTCCATAAAGATCTAAACTAAATACATGCATTATTCATTACCAATTTCTCTTAGATTATAATATTAATATTTAATTTGAAGAACACAGTATGGAATTTATGAATACTTACTAATTTTTCTTATGTCTTCCATGGAGATTTTTTCTTTGATTAGGATAAAGTTATTAAATTATTTTTTAATGTAGCTCATTCAGTGCTTCATTAATAGACATGTCTTATGTTAATGCCAATTCAAGAGATTCATTGACGTTTTCTGAATTTTAGATTTATTTCCATCACTTTCCCATTTGCAATGGAAATAACTCAATTCTTTTAAAGTTATCTCTAAATATTCTAATAGTTTCTCCATATGTAATTCCTTGTATTCTTTTACCCTATAAATATTATTAACGTCAAAGATTAAAGTTTCTAAATTAAAATCAATTAATGCTAAGGTATAATATTATAGTGTTTTATCATTTCTATGGATTTAAACATCTATCAATTAATGTTACGAATGTATTTTGGCTACCCCAACTTATTACTAAAATTATATGAAATTACTTTAATTTATATAGTGCCGATAATTTTTAATCTATAATATTTTTAAAAATTTTATCCATTAACCGGATGTTTTTAATCAATTCTTATTGTTTTTGTTTACCAGTATCAACTTAGACTATTCTTAGATGCTGAAAATGGATAGTAAATCCCTAAATTAAAAATACCAAACAATTACACTTTTCTTTGCCAAGTTTTAAAATTTTAGCCCATTTTTGTGGTTTTGAACTTTGAGGGTGTGATTTATAATTTTTAAAAATTTGAAAGAGTTTTTAAAAAAAAATTACTTTTAAATTTGGTAGTTGTAAATTCTATGTTTCATGTGTTGGTGGTAATTTTTTAAATGTTAGTATATTTCTTGTAACTCTAAAATTTTGAGGGTGTCTTTTGCAATTATTAAAACTATAGATTAATTTTGAAAAATATTAAATTTCAGCGGTCTACCAATCGACAAATTTGATGTGTGCTAGTTAAAAATTTTAAAAATTTAGAGTTTTTTTTTACGATTTTTAAATTTTGAAGGAGTTTTAAAAATTTTGAGGTTAATTTTGACAAATTTTAATTTTTTAGGTGTCTAAGGGTAATATCTTGAATTCATCTTATTTTATTTACAAATTTTAGAATTTTAGGGTGGCTTTTTATAATTTAAACTTTTGAAGGTGTTTCTATAATTTTTGAGATATTGAGGGTGTTAATTAAAAAATTTAAATTTAAATGTCAAAAATTTTAGGTGTATCATGGTAATCTCTTGAATTCATCTGTGTTGTTTGTAAGTTTTAAAATTTTAGAATTTTAATGTGCTTGTCTGTAATTTAAACTTTTGAGGGTGTTTCTATAATTTTTGAGACATTGAGGTGTTAACTGTAAATTTTAAATTCTTTGCAAACTGATGTTAATTTTTTAATTTCATGTTTTTTATTTTAAACTTTTCAGGGTCTTTTCTGTAATTTTAAAACTTTTATGGTTTTTTTTACAATACTTCATGTATTATAATATGTTATCTACTTGTAATTTCTTTATCTTAACAAACTAATATCATTTTTATATTTTATATATTTTATTAATATTTTAGTTTTTTTAAATTGTTAAGCTAAACATGGTTCACATAGGATTTGGATAAGATATGATTATGATTAGGATAGATTAAGATATAAATAAAATATTCAAAATAGTGAAGGGTAATATTGACCATTGAAAATTAGAATTTGATTATAGATAAGATAGTTCAAACTATAAAATGGTATATTTGTCTAAAAAAGATTTTCCGAACTCGTGCTTTTAAAGGGAGTATGATAAGGGGGGTTTTGGTTGGGACAAGCTGGGGCTAAGGGGGGTTATTGGTTGGGAGAAATTGTGATCATGTGGGAAAATTGTTCCAAAGGAATAATCTTATCTCTTTAGGACATTTTGAGTGAGTTAAGTGCGATAAAGTCTGATAATGAGACAATTTGAGCCTTTGATTTGACAATTCATATGTGATAATTGATGATGTGACATCTTATTAAAATATAATTTTATCTATTAATTACTTCTAAATTAACTTATCTAATTGATTTAATATATTATTATAATATAAACATTATTTTACTTTATATTAAAATATAATATGTTGTACTATAATTACTAATTAATATTATGAATTATTATATTATATTATATTATATTAGCATGCTATACTATATAATAATTAATATAATATAAGATCAATATATTTAATATAATACTGTGACGCCCCTGGGTTCACACAAGGCTGCAGTCCAAGGTGAAACCAAGAATGTCAAACCTGCCTTGCACCTCACCGTGCAATAACATGTTTCACCATCACAATTAACATCTATCTAGTAGAGTCAACAACTGGTGTAGGTACAAAACAGGCAAAAGATAATACAAGATATACTGATGAAATAAGTCTGAGTAGATAAACTGAAATACTCAACAAGTCTCCAAATACAAATATCTGACAAAAAGGAAATAAGGCACACAGTCTTTACAACTTCTAGAACAAGACTCTCAAATGTCTAAACAAAAGTCTACTGTGGAACTCCAAAAGAAAATATATCTAAGTAAACAGCTGAAGCTAAAATGCCTCGCCATCAACCTGCGGCTCTCCGGGCTCCTGGCTCGTTACCTGAAAGGGGGAGGGACAACGAGCGTCAAAGCGCTAGCGAGCAACATCACAACCAACCCCAAGGGAACAGGGCTCGTTGTATAAGAAAATACAGTTAATACATAATAGATCTAAAATCATTGATCTTACTGAAGAGGATTTTAGTATTTAGAAATTTACAACACGAGCATAGGTACGTCGAGCGAAATAATCCAAACAAGGAAACCCTCATGTATATACCTTGTATCTCAAATTGTAAATCCCTAAACACTAAACCCGAGGTTCTAGTACAGGGTACAATAATAAAAGAAATACAACTAATCTCAGAGCATAAGTACAGTGCCATGTCATAGCTTACATGAGCATCATGTTATTACTTACATGTATGCCATGTTATAATCTACATACGTGTCATGTTATAAAACTCCTGTGAGAAAGTCATATACAGGGTTAAGAAATATGTCCGATACAGGAACTAGATACTGTGGTTTTCTAAACACATGGAATAAGTGGCAAGTGTCCAACACGAGGACAAAAATGGATTATAGTCCAACACGAGGATGTCTATGGATTATAGTCCAACACGAGGACTGTGTAACTGTAAAAAGTATATGCGGACTGATATACATATTCTATACTCACACGCGTCTCGGCGTACATGTCTAAACTTGTGCCAAAAGTCAACCCACATGTACAGATAAATCATTAACATGGTAAACTAGGGTCAGGTTATCGAGGCGACCCCAAAAAGCAACTCAAACAGATCAAGAATCTGTAAAACATCTCATCAGTCGACTGATGTGTCGACTGATGACGTCAGTCGACTCATAAGTCGACCGATAAGGCTCAGGCAGCACAGCCTCAGCTCACCAGTCGACTGATCAGTCGACTGAGAAGTTGAGAAAACAAAATCAGCCCGTCAGTCGACTGATCAGTCGACTGATGACTGAAAATTTGCCCGTCGGTCGACTGATCAGTTGACCGATAGACTGCAGAAACTCTGCACAGGTTGCTATTTACACAAAATTTGATCTAAACTCATCCCCATCAATCCCAAGCATGAAAATACTGATATTAACATGTATGAACTAAACTAAAACAGAAATCCCATATGTGAATACATAAACAAAACCCTAAACATGTGTATTTATGTTTTAAAACATTTTTAAAACAAAACTCATGTTAAATCTCATGTTAAAACGAAACTCATGTTAAAT